AGTGGCAGCAGCAGTGGGGGATTGTGTGCGGGGTTGTCTTCGGCAGAGCACAGCTGTGCACAGTGCTACAGCAACCTCCCTGGAGGCAGAAGGACAAGGGGCCACAGCAGGGCAGCAGCACCAGGACACTGGTGCAGACAGGCACAGAGACCAGGGGCCAGGTGAGGAGAGGAGAGGGGGTCCTAGGGGCAGAGGTCTTGGCTGGCCTGCTGAGACCGTCCACCATCTATGAATATAGCATGTCTCTAGGAGCATCCTCACCTTCCCGGTCCACCTTCACTCTTTCCCGTCTGAGTGATGTTAACAGGGTATTGACTTTGCAATCACAAGTGAAAATGCTTTTAGATTTTATGGCTATTCTGTTCCTTCGTGTCGCTTCTCACCTTTGGGGAGGTAATAGATGCCTTTGGGAAGCAGTCTGAGCTCCAGGCTCCCTTGCACTCTGCACACACCACCAGGCTGGCATTTGAGTTCTGAATTATAATTGCCTGCCTGCTTATCCATCTCTCCCACTCCCTCTGCTAACAGCAACTTGAGGTTGTCACATCCCCAGGGTCCAATGTAGTGCCTGGCAAAAAGCAGGCAGCAATAAGTCTTTGAGTAAATGATGGGGAGAGGTGGAAATGACCCTGAGGCGAGAGACAGAGAGGCCAAGATTTAGACTCCATGCTCCTCAAGGTCTCAAATATCCATGTGGGTTTTCCAAGATAATATAAAAGCTCTATTCTCATTTTTTTCTGCTGCTTTCAGTTTGATTTTGTTGCTCTGCTTTCTACCCTACAGAGAGAGAAAAAAAGGATCTTACTATTGTGGCTTAAAAACCATTGGGGCAAGCAGGACTTATTTTTAATTAAATGCTTCCAGAAAAATTTCTCCCAATGCATCTTTTTCTTTGCAGGCCTTACAACTGATAATATGTAGGAAGGCAATTTTTATCATCTCCATTTTTTCAGTTTCTCTACAGTACACAAATTGATTTAAAAATTGCCATTATTGCCTTGGAATTCTGAAGTTATTTCATGTCATAATCTAGAAGGCGTATTTCCCTCTTTTAATTTGGCTTGCAATTTTCCTTAGAAAAATTTCCATGTTGAACCCAGGATGTTAGGAGAAATTACATGATATATATAGTTATATGTCATGCACATTATAATCATTCAATAAATGTTACCTAAGTAGGACATTTCCTATATACAAAGGCTGAATAAAGTTTTTTTAAAAATAAAGATCAAAGAAGCTTTAGCAGATATAAATAAAGGCACTTATTCTTAAGTACGAACACAGTTTTTACAAATTCCCTGGTAAGTAATAGGTGAATAGATTTAAAGGTTAAGATTAAAACTTTGCTTTTAAATATTTTAACTTTTTTCCTTTTAGCATTTTATTTGAAAAATGAAAAAAAGGAGGAAATAGAAGTAATAATCACCCATAATTTTGCCACACTTTTTAGAAATATAATCTCCCTCAATCACCACCAACCAAAATCAAGTCACAGTTATTAACAATTTGGTGCATGTTCCAGGCCCTTTTCATCACATGTACACACACTCACACTCATATATATATTTTTACTTAAAAAAATGGAGTTATGCTAATTATATTCTACTACCATTTTCTTTTTTCAGCTAAAATATTTTATAGACCTATTTCAAAGTTAGTACATATAGACATCTCATCCTCTTTTTAAAATTTTATCTTTTGCTTTTAGCTTTTTGATCTGTCCTAAATTTATTTTGTGTATGGTGTGAGACGGGGATCTAAGATTGATTTTCTAAATGAATTGACAGTTATCTGACCTGGTCATCAAATAAATTATCCTTCCCTACTGATTTGAAATACTGCCTTTATCATGAACTAAATTCTCATATGAATGTGAATCTGTTTCTGGACTTTTATTATATTTCATTGATCTATTTGTTAATTTCTGTGCCAATTAATTATTGTTTAACTTATATAATTTATGATGTATTCTGATACCTATGTGTCTACTCCTGTATAAAGTAATTACAATGTCAATTTCCATTTTAATTTTTATATCTGATAGGAAGAGGTCCCCTTTATTTGCTTCTATTTTCTGCTTTGTTTTGATTTGTATCTTTTAATTTTTAACAAAATAATACATGTACATAATTTAAAAACTAAATAAAATGAGAAGGCTTACAATTACAAACAACACTGTCCCACTACTCTTCAACGTTTTGCTCCTTCTCCTCGGAGGTATCACTTTTACTTCTTTTAGTTGATATTTCTGGCATTTACTTTTATATTTCTAAATAATATGATTATACTGTTAATTCTTGATTTATCACTTTTAGACATCGTTTATTGACTTCTATTAATAAGTATTCTTCTCTCTTACATCCCACTTCACTCCCTCTTCTGCTCAACAGAGTATATCACAAATTTTGGTCAAATCAATGATTAGCGTTTATATTAAGATTGGGCAAACAGCTTATAATTGCAGAATCAAATTAGTGTGTTATGATTGCATTTCCTTTTTATATAAACAAAATCCTTTCTTGAGGTTTTTTTTTGGAGTTATTAACTGCTTCTCTTTTAACTTGTGTAATTTTTTTTTTTTTTTTTTGTGAGGAGACCAGCCCTGTGCTAACATCTGCCAATCCTCCTTTTTTTTTTTTTCTGCTGAGGAAGACTGGCCCTGGGCTAACATCCATGCCCACCTTCCTCTGCTTTATACGGGATGCCGCCACAGCATACCTTGCCAAGCAGTGCGTCGGTGCGTGCCTGGGATCCGAACTGGTGAACCCTGGGCCGCCGCAGCAGAACGCGTGCACTTAACTGCTTGCGCCACCGGGCCGGCCCCTTAACTTGTGTAATTTTTTATAAACATATCTAAATTTTTCCAAATATTCCGTCAGAAGCACCATATACCTATCAACAGATTTTCCCCCATGCTCATAAACATCAGATGATTTATCAGTTCTTTCCTTTTACCTGGAAGCTTTCTTCCCAGAACCTTCTGTCTTCCTATCCAATCCCCTATTTCTTTAATCTCATATCTTTCTCTTTTTAAATTTATTTCCTCATTTTGTTGGAGAATATTTTCCAGTTACTGTCAGCATTTCTGTATCTTTATGTTTTAGATATGTTACTTTCAAATAGTGTATATTTGAGATTTGCTTATTAGGTTGTTTTTTGATCTAGATGGGAAACCTTAGTCTTTTAACTGGAGAAATTAGTCTATCTACATTTATTGTAATTACTATACATTGTGTGTGTCTATTTGTTTTGTACTTTCTATCATGTCAGCTGCTCTGTTTTTCTCTCTCTTTCTTTGCCTTCTTTTTGATTTGATTGATTTTACTAGTCTTAAGTTTTTTCCCCTCTGCTAGTTTGGAAGTTGCACACTTTGTTTCTTCTCTCTTGGTGGTTATCCTAGAAATTGCAAGATGCACTCTTGACTTATTAAGTGTTAATTAATATCATTACCCTCCTCCCAGACAGCACAAACACTTTAGTATTAATTACCATCTTCCCAAATTTCATGCTATTATTACTATTTATTTCAATTCTCTATATGTTTAAAACACCATAGGTCATGGTAACTATTAGTCTACACAGTCAGTATTCATTTAGATTTGCTCTCATATTTACCATTTTCTTTGCTCTTGTTTTTCCCCCTCAACTTTACCGTCTGCCTGTGAGCATTTTCCTTATATCTGGAGTGCACCATCTAGAATATCCTTTAGTGCAGATCTACAGAAGGTAAACTCTCTAAGTTTTTACTTGTCCGATAATGTCTTTGTGTTGCCTTCATTTTGAAGTATATTTTTGCTCAGTATAGAATTCTAGTTAAGTGGTTATTTTCTTTTAGCATATTGAAGATAATATTCTCCTGTGTTCTGGCTTTTTATTTTATTTTGTTTTTTGGTATTGAGAAGTCAGCTGTTACTCTGTCATTCCTTTGAGAGTAATCTTTTCCTGTAGCTTCTTTTAAGATCTTATCTTTCTTTTTGCTTTTCTTGCAAGCCAAAGCGTGGATTTCTTTACATTTATTCTAGGGATTTATTGGACTCCTGAATTTGTGCCTTTCATTAATTCTTGAAAATTCTTAGTAATTTTTTTCTTCAATTGTTGCCTTTACTCTCTTCCTCAGTACTTTCCTCTGTGGTCTAATTGGAGACATATGTCTCCAAGACATAACATACGTATGTTAGATCTTTTTATTCTATGTTAAGTGTTGACAGACTATGGCCTGTGGAGCCACCTACTTTTGTAAATAAAGTTTTGAATATAGTCATGCTTATTCATTTACCTGTTGTCCATGGTTTGTTTTGGCTTTTGTTTTTTAAGCTACAATGGCAGATGGGAGTTGTTGCAACAGACACAGTATGGCCTGCATAACCGAAAGTATTTACTCTCTGACCTTTCAGGCAAAAGTTTGCCAATGCCTACACGATGTTTTTATCCTCCCCTCTGTTTTCTCTGTCATCCCTTTGGTCTTTTTGTGATGCATTCTGGATACTTTATTCTGATTTATATACCAGTTCCCTAGTCTAATCTTTGGCTATTGATCTACTGTTAAACCTGTCCATTATACTCTTAACTATGGTTACTGTATTTTTTAGTTCTAGAATTTCTACTTGGTTCTTTTTCAAATCAAAGTCACTTTTTAGTTTCTATTTCCCAACTGAAATGTTTAAGCTTTTCTTTTTATCTTTTAAGGCAGGAAAGATGGTTTTGCAGTCTGTGGCTCATACTTTCACTGAATAAAGTCTTTGTGGTTTTGTTTCTATTGTCTTTTCCCCCCTGGTTCTCACCCATAGAAAATTTCTGCTGGACATTGCATTTGAAATGTTATTTGTGGAAACAATTTGAGGCCTGGGATGAAAACATCTGTCTCCACAGGGAATTTTCATTTGCTTCTCACACTCTAGGACCCTGTTAATTGAAGTTCCAGACTTGAGATTCCCAGAGTCACCCATCTGAGGACAGTGTTACTTTCAGTTCACTCTTTCTCTCAAGCAGTGGTTCCCCAACTCATCTGCACATTGGAATCACCTGAGGAGCTTCAAAATATACTGATGCCTGCTCCCCACACCCAGAGACTGCTATTTAATTGGTCTGTGGTATGGCCTGGGCTTTGGCATTTTTAAAAGCTCCCCAGTGATTCTAGTGTGCAGACAAGTTTGGGAAGCTCTAAGAGTAAAGCCCTTCGGGACCTCAACTTAACGTGTGGGTATTTATCAGACTCTCCACTTGGCAGGCACTTTTATCTGTTTTGCTCAGCGAGGCTGCCAAATACCGCAGCTCCATATTACAGCTGTTGCTTCCTGATTGGGGCAAAAACAGCTTTGAGTGCCTGCTTCTCATTTTCTCCCAAATTTTGGCATTGTAATCCTTCACTATCTTAATAGCTTTTTGATGCTTTTAAGAAAAATTAAAATATAAATATATTATTTATATTTATAAAAATATATTATTTTAATATTTAAATATATGAAATATTTTGATATATTTAATATTTTAGTATGTGTAAATATATAATATTAAATGTATATATATTTTCTCAAACAGCTGTTTTAGTTGATCTCGGTGGGAGGGTTGGCCTAGCCTGCCACTGAGATAATTGACAGTCCTCCTGTTGCTTTTTAAAAGGAAGAACTGAGATACTACTTTAAAGTTCTTACCTTTCTGAAAATGCGTTTATTTTATCTACTCTCTGGAGTCATAATTTGGCTGGGATTTGATGTCTAGGTTGAAACTTAATTTTCCTTGAAATATTTGAAGGCATTGTCTTATTGATCTCTACCATTCGTTGATCTCGCATCCATTGTAGCTGTTGAATAATGCTATTCCTCCCTGATGCCAGCGTCCTTGTAAATGACATTTTTCCCTCTTTGGAAACCAATAGGATCTTCTCTTTTCCCCCTGGAACTCTGACATCTCATAATTTGTGTACTTTGGTATGGGTCTTATTTCATCCATTTTCTTGGGCATAAAAGGGACATCTTTAATCTAGAGATTTTTGTTTTTACTGCTAGAGAATTTTATTGCCACATTACTTTCATATTTCCCACCTCTCTATTTTCTCTCTTCTCTTTTTTAAGAAATTATTTTGGTTGGACCTTGGGCCTTTTGGATTCATCTTCTGCATTACTTATCTTTTCTTTCCTAATTTTTAGTGCTATGTCTTTTTGTGCTAGTTCTTGGAGGATTTCCTTAACTTTTTTCTCCAACACTTCTTTGAATGTTTTATTTTGATTAAATTTTTATTTCAGAAGAAATTTTTATTTCTGGTTCTTTGATTTATCCTTTTACATAACCTCTGTTTCTGGGCATAAGGATACAATATCTTCACTTATTTCCCTAGAGTTGTAGATTAAAATCTTATATCCTCTTATTATTTGTTTTCTCTAGATTTCCTTTTTTTCTTTATACCTGCATTGGTCTTTCTCTTTCATGCTAGAGATTTGCCTCAATTATCTGGGAGCCTTGATGCTGTGCATATTTAAGAGTGAGCCTCTAAAATATTGTTTGGAAGTCCTGAGTGTGTGGGAGGACTTGTTGACCTGTGGGTTCCATTTAGCGGTGATTGAGCAGGGAGTTCACAAGAAGAAAGAAAAAGAAAGAAAGAAAGAGGGAGGGAGAGAAGGAAGGAAGGAAGGACAGAAGGAAGGAAGGAAGGAAGGAAGGAAAGAAGGAAGGAAGGAAGGAAGGAAGAAAAAAGAAAGCAGAAAACTGGAAGCTTTTTCTCTAGGGCCATTTAGTTTGTCAGAAAAGAATCTTCTGTGCCCGCCCAGTGGCATAGCGGTTAAGCTCACGCATTCCGCTTTGGCGACTGGGGTTTCCCTGGTTCGGATCCTGGACGCGGACCTACTCACCGCTCATCAAGCCATGCTGAGGCAGTGTCCCACATAGAAGAGCTACAACTCTACAACTATGATACACAACTATATACTGGGGCTTTGGGGAGAAAAAAGAGAGAGAGGAAGATTGGCAACAGATGTTAGCTCAGGGCCAATCTCCCTCAAAAAAAAAAAAAAAAAGAATCTTCTGATAGTCTGTCAGCATAAGGAAGACAATTTGGAGAAAGGAGACTGTGTAGTTCAACCATTTCTTTTGCAGACTTCCATGTGCCTCCCCTCTGCTGCCTCCATCTGGACAACCCTAAATCTCAGCCTTTCTCATTAAATTATACAGAAAATAACTTTAATCACCAGTCTGGGAAATTAGTAGCCTGAGTGTGTGAGGTGAGGGAAGGATATGACTACTCCATAAACAAACTCTCAACAATGCCTATTTTTAGCTCCTCACCTCAACCTAGCCCTTCATTATACCTGCTGTCTCCAGAGTTGAGCATCTCAGGTTTTCCATTAAGGTGACATGGCTCACTTAATAGTGGTCATTTCCCTGCAGGTGACTTAGATCATTGCTTCCTCTGTCATGCTAAATCACTCATTTCTACTCCATAGGGTCCTATCTTCCAATATTGCATTGAATTCTCTGGTCTGCTTCTGTCTTCTTTATTCTCTTTGTCTTTTACATGTTTCTACTTTCTTTTTGTTGTTGTAGTTCCTTTACTATCAATTTAGTGGAGTCTTAAGCAGGAGAAGAGATAAAAATCTACATTCTTAAAACATATCCCAATTAACTGTAGATGGTTTGTCTACTAAAAACAATTATCTTGGGGTTTTATTAAGATTGCTTTGAATTTATAGGTTAATTTGAGAATTGTCAATTCTGTGTTACTTTGTCTTCCTATTTAAGAACATGGTAAGTCTCCACATTTATTTTGATCATTATGACCTTCTGTAAGTTTTACAATTTTCTTCATGTTAGATTTATTACTAAAAATATTACTCTGATGAAGAACGTAAGTGACACCAATGAAAAGCAAATTTGTGAGCTTGAAGATTGACTTGAAAAATTGACTCAGAACATAGTGCAAAAGGCCAAAGAGAAAAAATATGAAGGAAGAGTTAAGAGACCTGGAAAACAGATCCAGTGGTTTCAACAGCCTTCTAATAAGAGTTTCAAGAGAGAACAAAGAGAATAGAGGGAAGAAGCCATAAAAGAAATAAAAGAATAAAATGTCCTAAAGTTGGAGAATGAGGACAACACACAAACACACACACCCTACTCCACATTGTGACAACGTTTCAGTGAGAAAAAGGAAATTCTAAAGGATTCAAGAGAGAAAAGATAAGTTACACTGATTTATACCCTATGGACTTTCTCTACTCCTCATAGACAGATTAGAATCACTGACTACAGAGCCAGCAAATAAAGGCTGCAAATGTTTGTGTCTGGAGCAAGTATCATCTGACAGCAGCAGCAGGAGGCCCTGTGGAAGTCCTGTCAGCCTCGAGTTCCTATGCTTGTTGCTGTACTTGCCAGCTATTGAGGGCCCACCAGTTAACAGCAGAGACCACAGGGTCCATTTATCTTCCAGGCATTTGTGATGCCTCCCACCCCCAACTCCTTCATTGAACACGCTCCACTTGGAGAACCATCCTCTCCCCTCATCCTTCCAACAGCTCAGAACCCCAAAAACTCTTTGGAACAGAAGAGAGGCTTGGACACTTAGAGTTAAAATCTCCACTGCATCAGAATGGAGGAAGAACATCTTTGACATGAAGGGAAAGCCCAGGGCGTGGCCTGAGGCTGCTAGGTGTCTGGGATGCTCAGTTCCCAACTTCGCATTTCCCTACCTTTCCTTCGAAGGTCCAAGAGGAAGAAAAGATGTTCACTCAAAGATCCTCTTGAGATTTTTAAGAGTTCTCTCCATCTGTCCATAATGAGATGTGGGCAAATCAAATGGTGTACTTACTAAGCAAATGTGTATACCTGTACATATATATATGTGCATTTGGATAGGAGGGATACCTCAAAACCACCTGATAAGGCAGGCTTTACCCCTCATTTTGCAGAGGAGGAAATGGATTATAAATGGCAGTCTGAGAGGCGTGGTAGGACAGTCTCATTTGTCATTAGGGTTATGGAGAAGAGAAATTTTTATGCGGATTATATGTATGAAATACATACATACATATACATATATATGTTCTAGCACTGTTGAAACTCTTTCCCTCTGCCTCCTTCAGATACTTCTGAGTTATTGCCCAGCTATAGGTTTGGGACCCCACAAAGCATGAGCATCAGAGCTATTAGCCTGAGAACCTAGACTAGCCTGAGAACATGAGTATGTGTTCTAGGTTCAGCCCATTTGTTAATTCTTTTTCTCAAAAAATGTGAGCTTGGTGCCTGGTGCTGGGAAGAGAAAGATAAACATGGCCCTGCCTTTAAGGGGCTATAATTCTAGCTCAATCACCTACTGTCTAGGTAGGCTCGAGTAAGTCATTTGAGCTCCCTGATCCTTCAGTTCCTCATCTTTAAATAGAATGCTGGCTTTGCCTACCTGACTCACAGCTTTTCTTGTGTGGATGTAGTCAAATAACATACATGAAAGTGGTCATGAGAAAACTCATAGGACATTGTCATCATTTTCCTTACAATGTCTTTGTCCTAAATAATCTGAGTTTCTAAATAAATGGTGAATTCAAATAATCCTTTAATTTCCCACCAGAATGAGCAGTGTTTGCTTCTTCCTGGTGTGTGGTAGTTGTATCCCTCTTCCTTCTCCTCCTGTCATCTCTTGTCCATTGGGCTCTGCAGGGCATGCCTGAGTCACTTCTGCTCTGGGTAACCATGAAGTTCTCTGCCTTTCCCTTGAAGAACTCTGTTGACTGGGAGGATCCTTGCTGAGCTCTTCTGAGTGGGTGATATCCCCCATCCTTGAGCTTCCCAAGGGGTGTCCCAGCAGCTAAACTGGGGCTGCTCAGGAAGGGGAGGCTGACTTTGCATTGCTGGGTTCTGATTTCTGTCCATGGGTCTTGTGTCAGGCCACACTATCTATTTTCACTCAAATGATAGTTAACACTTCAGTATTCTAAGAACTTTACGTACATTAACTTATTTAGTCCTCACAACAACCCTCTATTATCCCATGACATGGAGGAGAAAACTGAGACTCAGATTGTTTAACAAACCTGGTTAAGGTCACAGAGCTGCTGAGTGGCAGAGCCAGAGTTTGATCCCAGGAAATCTCTCCCCAGAGTCTAGGCTCCTAACCACATTGTTATCCTAGCTGTTAAATTAGCTTTGCTTAACTAGCTCAGAGGCAAGAAAATCTCCCAGCATTTAAAGTGCCTAGCAGGGTGTGGCATTCCTTGATTCTTTAATAATTTAAATAAAAGTCAATTCTGAGGTTCCACCTCTGATTTAACTTCCTCGGTACCCAATACTCCAGCCAAGTGAACAGTGATCTCCTTGATGCTTGAGTAACAGGCTAATGGCAGGGTGAACCATACGAAATTGTCAATATTTGGCCATTTTTGACCTATACAAATGGCAATTTCATATAGTTCAACCTAATGTTTGCTGAGCTCCTACTTAGATGCAAGATTTGATTCCAGGCCCTTTCCTTGTGTTATCCATTTAATCCTCACAACAATACTTCAAAGTGTTTTTAACCTTCATTTTTTTTGCACAAGAAAATAGGCTCAGATGAACTAGCTGGAGATCATGCAGCAATTGTAAGTGGTAAATCCAGGGATTCTGCTCCAAGATGAGTCCTTTTCCACTGCACAGCGTCTACAGGCTAAGCCCTAGGAGCTGAGTGCAGCTGGAGGTCCCGGAGGCAAAAAAGAGGGGTCACATTCAACTAGTAGACTCAAGTTATACTAATTTTGAAGTGAAACATGAGTCAAAAAGGGAAAATAATATGACCTCTGAAAAACAGGCAGATATGACTCAATTAGCTGCAAAAGTCAGCTTTGGAAAACTGAATCAGACCTGCTCGATTTTATACAGTATTGCCACTGGAGTCCACAAACTTGTGGTTGTGCTTGCTGCAGCTTTAAAGAGAATTTGGGGGTTGAAGGGTGATTTGCCTAATTGAAGAACTCTGTTTTGGGGAGCCGAGCAAGGAGAGCACAGAGGGAGGGCACCTGGAAAAGCTGGAGACTATTGGGATTCCAGGTTCAGACAAATACAACTAGAAAACTTAGGGGTAGTTTGCGGGAGAGGTGGGATGGGGAGGTCTTTTGCAGTACTACTAGAAAAGAATGAAAATGTGTGGGTCTCCAGAATCCCCAGTGCTGACTGAGTTGCCTGGAGCTTGGGAATCCAGTTTAACCACCTGGAAACATTTTGGAATGACTATAGGCTGTAAGTTATGGGACCCGGGCTAGGAAGGGAGGAGGCAATGTTAAATGGGCACAAACACACTGTGATGTGTTCCAATTAAGTGGAATGTTATTCGGGATAGATGCAGAAATAGTTGAAGTGGTTCATAGGCATTCATTTTAATTCTTTGGTTTTCCTCTGTGGGAGACTACTTTCATCTGGTTCTTTTCAATATGAATTGAATCATATTCTCTTTATTTGTCACAAGCATTTATTTGCCATAACTATTTTAAAGCATTGGACAATTGCTGCCTCATTCTCAGAGGGTTGATTAGAACCCCTTGCTGAGCTGCTGTCTCACCAAGTCTAGGTGTTTGAGATGAATTCCCAGCCACTGGAATAAAAACTACCAAAGAAAGTATGAGTGAATGTTGTCATTGATCAACAGATCTTTGTTTTAACTCTTATCTAGGCAATCTGCCAGGTGTTAGGAATACAGAGTCTTGCAGGCTGCCTTCTAAAAGTGTACAGTCTAGTTGGGGGAAATATGACACATACACAGAACACAAGACAATATTTTGTAAATGCCGAATGTATGATGAATAGATAATGAAAGTTATAGGAAGTAAAGAGGCTAACATTTGCAAGGGAGCTAATGAGGCAAGGACATTTGGAGAGGGTAGATTTGAGGTGATCCTTAAAGAATGAGTATTCATGGGTACAGGGGAGTGACAGGAAGTCATTACAGGCAGAGAAAAGGGCAACATACGCACAAAAAAGTTGAGAGGTGAGAGAGCCCATATTTGCTTAGAATCTGAATAGACCAGTTTGGGCAGAGTGGAAAATTAGTTTCAGAAGTAGTATGAATGCCCTCCTCCTTTTTTCTGTCTATATGCTTTCCTGGATGATCTCATTCAGTCTTTCACATTGAAGTAATGTCTATATGCTGATTCCTGGATTTATAACTCCAGCACAGACCTTTCTTTCATATTCCACAGTTGTTCATCCATCCACCTAATCAACATCGCCACTTGAAAATCCCACAAGAATCTCAAACTGAACTCATCCACAATGGAACTCTTGGTTTTTACCCTCCTGACTTGTCCTGTCCCCCTCCCCCACCCCCATGGTTTCCTCTCTTGATAAATGGTATCATGATTCACCCAGGTGATCAAGCCAAAACCCTGGGACTCATGCTTGACTTCTCCTTTCACTTGCTCCCCCACCTCTACTCCATCAACAATAGATGTCAACTCTTCCATAAAAGAATCTCAAATCTGTCCACATTTTTCTGACTCTTGCTGCTGTCACCCAAGTACCCAAATTCAAGGCACCAACCTTTCCTGCCTGTCATTCTGTAATATTCCCTGATTTCAATCCTTCCAAGCTGAGTTCCCTACAATCCTTTTTCTACCCAGCAGTCAAAATAACCTTTTGGAAGTGTTATCAGATCAAATTCCAGAAGATCACTCCCCTGCTTATGACCCTTTGATGACTTCCCAGTGCCCTTAGCATAAAATCCCAACTCCTTGCCATGGTCTATGTAACCATGCTTTTTGGGTGCCTTCCCCAGCCCCCATGACTGCCTAGCATCCATACACCTTCTTCTGATAGCTACTTCTCTATTTTTCTTTGAGGAATTACTCCCTCCCTGACTCTTACTGCAAGTGGTCTGAGTGGGCTTACTCCACTCCACTTCTGTGTCAGGGGATCAAGCATATAACTTCAGCATGGACAATCAGCATATTCTTTCCCTATGTCAAAGCACTTGGCTCAGAGATGAATACATCTCCCGAGTTGATCCAATAAGACTGAAGCCCAGGTCTTTTGCTAGGACACTGGGGACTGCTGGCTGTAAAGATGATGTACACCTGGAGCTACAGGAACCTATCCCTGAGGAGAGGCTTCCTGAGCTAAAGCCAACTCAGAACAAATGAGACTGAATGATGGAGAAAAACCAAGTCCTGTTGACTCTGTCTGAGCCCAGCTCAATCCCATGCCATGCCACTATGTTTCAGTTGAGCCAACAAATTCCCTTTTTAGTTCAGGCTTGTGTTGAGTTTCTAGGCTGGTTTGTCCTGCAGGATCTGACCCCTGCCTAGACTTGAACCTTATCACAAACCTTTCTCCTCTCTACACTCAGCCTTGGACCTGGGACACATTAAACCCTTTCTCATTTCAGCGTCTTTGCCTTGGAGTCCATGTTGCTGAGAATTCTCTTCCATAGATTTTTAAGAGGCTGGCATACTCTCATTTCTTAGGTCCAAGTTCAAATATCATCTCCTCAAAGAGCCCTTCCAAAACTACCCATCTAAGTGAGAGACTCCTCCAGTTCCCTTCTATCATGCCACCTTGTTTCATTTAGAGCAGTGATCAGAATCTGTAGCTCAAATTGTTTACTTCTTTCTGTACTTGTTTATTATCTGGCTCTTCCACTAAAATGTTGCCTTCATGTCAGCAAAGATTTGTCTGTCTTGTTCAGTCTGTACTCCTGGGGTCTAACTCATAGCAGGTGCTTAATAACTGTTTGTTAAGTGTGTGAATGAATGCATGCATGCATGCTCAACTCTCCATAGACTGATCTTGATGGAAAGGAAGAAAGAGACAGGAAATATTTACCATAAAAGACAACAGACACACCTTTTTCTTGAAGGCTTTACCTGGCAACCATGGAGCAGAATGTCCTGCAAAGGAGGTGATCACAGCCAGATGTGCTCAACCCAAGCCTGTGATGAGTCAGGGCAGCAGATGAGTGAACCGGCTGGTGTTCTATGCTGGCCCCAGGTAAGGGCACAGCACTCACCCTTACCTGTAAGTCAACCTCGGGAGCCACATCAGGTCATGGGCTGGTCTCGGCCAGGGTTGCCGTGCTGGGCTGAGGTTTCAGGTCAGGGTTACATCTTCCTCTTTCTAACATGAACCACCTCTTTATTTGGAAGGGTTATGGAGAGAGGTAGGCAGGCAACTGTGAAACATCCTGCTTCCTTAATTTTGCCAGCAAGGCTTTGGAGTGTACACTACTAATACAATGATAGCAACAACAGCAAACGTGTACAGTGCTTGCTTCGTGCTGGGACTGTTATAAGTGTTTTATATGTATTAATTCCCATAGCCACTGAGGTAGATTAATGATGGCCACAAATTCTTTGATACTTTTCCCATTGAGAATTGGGTTCTATGGCTCCTTCCTTTGAATCTGGTTGGGCTCTGTGACTGCTTTGACCAATAGAATATGGAAGAAGTGATGATGTGCCAGTTCTGAACTGTCTTTTGGAATGCTTGATCTCGGACACTCACTCTAGGGGAAGCCAGACACCACGTAAGAAGTTTGATTACTCTGCTGGTGAAACCACAGGGAGAGGCCCTGAGACTCCGTGGAGAGGGAGAGGGGCCAGCTGAGCTCAGCCTCCAGCTGTTCCTGATGAGGCACCAGTCATGTGAGAGAAAAAGCCATCTTGGACCCAGCCATCCCAGGTGACACCACGTGGATCCGAGAACAGCCCAGCTGAGCCTTCTTAAATTCCTGACACACAATGTTGTGAGGAAACTAAAGTGACGGTTTTAAGCCACTACATTTTGGGTAGTTTGTATTCAGCAATAGATAACTGGGACAACTACCCTATGTCATAGGTGCTGTTGTTGTCTTCATTTTACAGATGAGGAAATGAACACAGAGAGGTTCAGTAACTTGCCCAAAGTTGCAGAATAGTAAGAGGTAGACATGGAATTCAAGTCCAAGCAGTCTGGCTGCAGAGCCTAAATCACACGCTGTAGGGCTGCCACACTCAGTTTGTGCTAGGTCTCAGCTGCCCAACAGTGAGTCCTGCCTGCCCCGGGCCTCTTAGAGGCAAACTTACTTAATCTCTTATGGCCTCAAGCTTCTTAGCTGCAAAATGAAGGGTTGGACTAGATTAAATATCTAAAGCTGAGTTTCTCAATCTGCTTTTTAGCGGGATAATGAGGCTGGATAATTCTTCATGGTGGGGCTGTGCTGCACACTGTAGAATGTTTAGCAGTCTCCCTGGCCTCTACCCACTAGAAGACAGTAGTACCTCCCAGCCTCTGTGGTCCGCTTCCCCTCGTTGTGACAAGTGAAAATGTCTCCAGACATTCCCAAATGTCCCCTGGGGAGCAAAATCACCTCCAACTGAGAGCTATCTCAAGTCTCTTCTAGTTACAGCTTTGCTGTTCTGTCCCCTCTGCAGCTCTGCTCCCTCCAAGCCCCCCTTAGTTACTCTTATCTATTGTTTAAAATTGAGGAGGTATCATCTGCCCCAGGATTCCTTCTCTGGCCCTTCTGCCCCTGGGATGAGTTAGGTACCCCTTTTGTGCTCCAAATGCCCAGGGGGCTTTCCATGGTACTATATGGAGATGATGATGCGGCTGTGTCCCTGCTGGTCTTTAAGCTCCATAGGGACAGAGACTGTGTCTTACTTGTATTTGTATCTTCAATGTATAACACAAGTCCTGGCTGGCTCAGTGTTGGTGCTCAATAAATTCTTATTAAAACAATGAATGGGGGCCAGCCTGGTGGCGCAGCGGTTAAGTGTGCCTGCTCTGCTGCAGCGGCCCGGGGCTGGCAGGTTCTGATCCTGGGTGCGCACTGATGCACCACTTGTCAAGCCATGCTGTGGCTGTGTCCCATATAAAGTAGAGGAAGATGGGCACAGATGTTAGCCCAGGGCCAATCTTCCTCAGCAAAAAAAAAAAAAGAGGAAGATTGACATCACATGTTAGCTCAGGGCTGATCTTCCTCACACACACACACAAAAACCAATGAATGAACAAACAAATGAATGAAGGAGGCAGAGTATTTTGGTGGTTTCTGGAGCATGGGCTTTTGAGTGCTGAAGATGTTTGAGTCCTGGCTCTGCCACTTACTAGCGGCATAGAGTTGGGAAAGTTACACAATCTCCTTGACTTTCCTCTATGAAATAGAGACAATGAAATATCTACCCCATAGGTGTTGCAAGGAGAAAAGGGGATCATACCTATAAGCTGCTTAGCATACTGTCTGACATGTAGTAAATGCTCAGTAAATGGTATCTTTTACAAAACAAATGAATTTTATAATTTCATGCCTCCTCCGCCTTCACATGCCTTACTCCAGTCCCTGCAATTCTGCAAGCAGAGTTTGTTGGCATGGACGCTGTTAGAAAGTCTCTTATTTCCCTTTTCCTCAAGACTTCCTCACTGTGAATGTGACCTTTTCTCTACTCAGTCCTGGATTCAAATTTGTACGGTTTTCTCAGCATTGTCAGCAGGTGCCACTCCACTTGTATGCCCTCCGACTGACTCAGAGAGCAAGGGGCAGGTCATCTGAAGCCTTGAGGACCCACAACTTGAGGCTGGGGAGAAGTCAGGCTTAGGTGACTGGACGTCTGTTCCTTATCCTCAGGGGCTGAGTGGGGCCTGGGAAAAGAGAAAGGGAGCAGGCACGTAGAGCCGGGGGAAAGGGGAGACATTTCCCCCGGCTCTGGGCAGACTGCAGACAGCCGTGTGGCAGCAGGGTGTGCTTGTTGCCCTTCTTTTCCTTTGTGGGGGACATCACTCCAGATGGCCATTGCTAGCCATGAGCATAGTGGCATTTCATTTACGAATACTCGTAGCAGTAAGCAACAAGGCTTGAACAATAAGGGGATTTATGGTCTCACTTAATAAGAAATCTGGCAGAAAGAGCTTCAGGATTGGTTAATTTAGCTATTCAACAGTGTCATCAAAGACCCAGGTTCTTTCCCTCTTCAGTGTGTTGGGTTGTCCGGCTCCCATGGTCTCAAGATGGCTGCCAAAGTTCCAGACTTCACACACAGTCAACAATGTGCAGAGGCAGGAAAAAAGGCACCCTTGCTCTCTGTCTCTCATCTCTTCTTAAGAGCTGAAAAAATGTTCCCAGAAGCCTCCCTGGTGGTCTTCCTTTGTCTCATTGGCCAGCATTGGTTCACAGGTCCATCCTGAACCAATTCCCAGAAGCTTTGATCAATCCCTTGGGAGAAAGTGAAGAAGTTTGGGTTGTGTTAGAAAGGAGGCAGCCAAGTGAATGATTGTTGGTTAGCATTTAACAGGGTCTGCTACATAAGGTTATCCCATTTTCTTTTTGGGAGGGTTTGCCAGGTGCTGTAAATGTGAAAGGGGCTGAAACCCTGAATAAGGGAAGCAGCTAGTTGTATGTCTAAGTAGCAGATTGTTTGTTGGGATTCATGGCCTTCTCAGGGACCTCTGACAGTCTGTATGATTTTGATGGGACCCCCTCTGCTTTCTCGGTTTTGGTTTCCATCTCTGTGGCAAGAACTCGGAGGTTCCTCAGAAGACCTGTATAGAGCTCAAACTAATCACAATTGGTGTATATGGCACAGACCATCTCAGAAACAGAGATTTTAAAAGGGGTTTCTCTCTAAAGCCAGGAGCTTCTTGAGGATTTATTAATCCTCGTATACTAACTGTGTAGCCTCAGGCAAATTAATTAGCCTTTCTGAGCCTCAGTTTCCCCCCTGTAAAATGGGGATAATACTAAACCTTCCTTCCAAGTGTTGCTGTGAGAATTAAATGAGATAGAGTCTAGCCCAGAAGCTGGAGTATAGTGCTCAGTAAATAGTATTATTGTTGTTGTTGTTGTGTTATTATATCATCATCATCATCATTATTACCATTTTCATTATTATCTTTGTATCTTCAGCACTTAGTCAAGGTATGTGTTATGTGTTCAATATATATGTTGAAGGAAAATGAGTGTGAGAATGAAGGAACAGGGAAAGAACATATAAAAAGTCAAATAATGGTAATGTAACTCATTGCTAAAGCAGGCCAACAGTGCAGGGAGACATGACAAGGTGGCAGGGTGTGTAATAAATTCCCTAATGGGAGGTACCTACAAGCAGTTCAGTGACTACAGAATGAAGCATCCTGTGAGATGGAGCCGTCGGGGAAGCCTTTGCCAGAAGGCAGTAGGATCTGAGATGATCTGTTGAGGATGGGTGGGAGCTGAATAAGCAGAGAGGAAAGGGGTGAATTTCAGGTAGAGGTCCCCCATACTCAGACCTGACATCTTAGAAAATGTGAGCATTGAGAATGTTCCCTCAGGGAGCTGGAGTTCAATTTGGTTTCGGGATCTGTGGCTTAATTCTTTAGCGCCCAGCCCCATCTCAGAGTCTGTTTTATTCTTGCTGGAGAGTGGGAGGTTGCTGCAGCGCAGAGCCCACACATCTGCAGAAACATTTTCTTTGTAAACTAGCTCTCTATGACAACCATCGCATGTGTTCTGGGGTAGGGGCCAGCTGACTCAGGAATTAATCAAATCCTTTTATGCCAACTCTCATCAGCTTTCAAAGGGTCTTTACACAGAACACTCCTAAACGAGTAGTGAATGAATATTCATACATATATTTTCCCCACCGCTGATCTGGAGGAACGCTGCTCTCAGAGCCGTTTGCTGTTTCTTGGTAGAGGGGACTGGCTTTGTGCTTCTTGCAGAGAAGAGGGAAATGAGTCAGCTTCTGACACTGAAGAAATAAAATCTCCTTCTGTCCGTGATAAACTTGTCAAACGCCAAGAAGTATTGGGGAAGGAGTCAGAGAGTTTCCAACGGGAGCACTCGTCTGCGATATGTATAACAGGCTGGCATGTGTATTCTCCACAAATGACCCAGGTTACCCCCAAGGGACCCACGTGACTTGCTTTCTCATAACCCACCTGTCATTCATTTGCCTTGCCTGATCCACCGTTCTCAGAATTCTGATTGGACCCTGCCTTTCAGTAATAGTAACTCCAACATTTGAAGAGTACTTGATAGTTTGTGAGGGACTTCCATCCACATTATCTGATTCCCTCAACTACACTGAGAGGAAGGCAGGGCAAAGATCATTTAACCCATTGCCCAGGTGAGGGACCTGATGCTCAGAGAGGTAGTTAAGTCACAGAAAGGCAGGGGACACAGAAAAGCAGAGGTGACATTAGAACACATGAATCCTGACCCCTGGGCCAGTGCACTCTCTGCTCTATCGCCCCACTGCCCTCCCGCCATTAACCAGGGTTTGAGCCACTGACACTGATAGTCTCATAAGCTCCGCTTGAGGACAGCAAATCATTTTTGAGTTCTTCATCTAAGGGTCTAAGCAATTATTCAAGCCTGTTCTGAAAGAGGTCTCCCAAAGAGCGATCATGCTGCAGAGCACTTTCTAGACCCAGAGTAACTTGAGTGGATTGGGCATCTCTGAGACTCACCACAGTGCTCTTCTGGGTGCCCTTTAGTTCAGCCAGGCACCATCTGCCACCTTATACCTCTCTCTCACATGGTGTTTGCAGGGCTGCCCCTGGCTCAGGGAACTGTCTATCCTCAAACATTTCCCCTGCCAAACAGGCACTCTCCTACGATGCTTGTGAGGGGCAAACAGGTCAGCTGCATGGAAGACAGTTAGGTTATAGCCCTCAAAATTACAAATGCATTGACTCTTGGATCCAGCAATCTCAATTCTTGGAATTTTCCTACACATATTTTTGCATGTATATAACAGGATGTGTGTTATATATATGTACAAGAATGTACATACAAGATTTTCCATTGCAGCCTGTTTTGTAATAGCAAAGACTGAACACAATCTAAGGTACCATCTATAGAGGACCAGTTAAATGAATTGTGATGGAACCACATAAACACCACACAGCTACAAAAATGAGTGAGGAAGTTCTCAGTAAACTGATATAGAATGATTGCCAGCAAAATGCAAAACAGTGTATAGTTTGCTACATTTGTGTAAGGGATGGGGAATGAGTATATATTCATATTTGCTTGTGTTTGCATAAAGAAACACTGGAAGGATACTTGAGGAACTAATAAAATGGTTACTTTTGGGGGGTAGAGAATGGGATGGATGGGCTGATGGTAGAGAAGAGGTAGTTAGACTTTTCAATGGGCACTTTTTATATCATTTTGAGTTTGAAGCATGTTAATGGCTTATCTACTGAAATAAATTATTATTATTATTATTTTTTTAAGATTTTATTTATTTTATTTTTCCCCCCAAAGCCCCAGTAGATAGTTGTATGTCATAGCTGCACATCCTTCTAGTTGCTGTATGTGGGACTCGGCCTCAGG